AATCAATCATTGATAAATTGTCAATGGAAATAATTTTTATAGAGTTTTTTAATTCATCAAGCTCTTCCACCCCCACCAGGGTTGACTTTGACAACTTAAATGGGAAAGGGTTGGTCGAAATCAACTTCTCTTTCACCTAAATTATGTCTTCTAGCCTTTCCTTAGAAACTTTGTAGCCATAAGTGATTTGTGCTAAATCATTAGCTTCTTTGTTTTCGATTCGAGGAACATGTTTGATGTTGACTTCATCAAATCTTTTTAATAATGAATTGGCCTTTACAAAGTACGTCAACATATTCTCTTTGATACATTTGTACTCTTTTGTCAATTATTTTACAAAAAACTTTGAATCACCTCTAATTTCAACTCCTTTTGCACATAAGCCCAATAGAATCTTGAGGCTTGCAATCAATGCTTCATACTCAGTCTCATTATTCGAGCAATAACCTGTAATTTTAAATTTGAACTTCGTTGGAATTTCTTTAGGTGAAATGATCAGAATTCCAATACCAATTCCTTTTTTATGCTTGGAACCATCAAAGTAGAATGTCCAATGTTTCAGACCGACATAATTTTGTGTTACTTCAACAATTGCATGATCAACAATAAAATCAGTAACAACTTGGCCTTTCACAAGCCTTAAAGGTACATATGGTAAAGAATATTCAGTCAAAGCTAAATCCTCTTTCCCAGTTAAACTATGTAGAATAGGTTTTGATAACATATGCTTAATAACATTGAAATGGGAATAACAAAATATCAATTGGATTTATATAATACTTAAACTTAGTACATGAGAAAAATAAATAAAGGCATAACTTCTCTATTGGACTATACCTAGTTTCTGCATCATTCAAAACTCAACTAAAGTAATAAATGGCTCTTTCGACGCCATCATCCTAATGGAATAATCTAAGCCACCTACATCCATTTGGACTAACTCATGTTCAAGCACTTGAGTGAAGTAGCTTTACTTCATTAATCTAAACCTATTGAGATAACCACCTATTGGTTTATAAGATTTTCACTTCACACTGGCTAATTCTTTCAGGGTAATTTTTGATTGACCTATATACAACTACTCATGGAACATACTCTTTAGTTGATTCTAATTATGTACGGAGTTAGGAAGGAGAGTAATGAACCATGTAAAAGCATTCTAGGTCAAAGAATTAGGGAAGTATTTCATCTTTATATTTTTGTTAATAGTCATATCACCATCTTCTGTTTGGTATCTAGCAATATGCTCGACAATGGAATCACTAGTGTCACCTACAAATTTAGTAAACTTAGAGACTTTCCAACCCCTAGGGAGTTCAGTTTGCAAGACATATCCAGATAACGTAGAAACAAAATTCGGCCTATGAAGACCAACATTAAGACCATTTTGGGTTAGGATTTGTTAAACCATATTTGTTATGCTATTTTCCCCTAAAAGTTATTTTTTTGGACTCTCCTAACTACGTGATCCGCAACTACGTTCCTGTTTACCAATAACATATCTTCGACTAGCCTGGGTTTGGGTTGTTTGAACGGATAGGGCGCAACTTGCTGTTGCAGTTGGTTATTAAGAACTGACCGAATGGAAGCCTGACGAGCACGAAAGAAAACATAAATTTGACTTATTTGATGTGCTAATTGTTGGTAACTGTGATTGGTATTTTGGGTCAAAGGATTAAACACCGTACCAATTTGTTGGGTAAGCATGTTAACCATGTCATGATTATTGTCATCCATTTATTGCCTTACATCCAAGAGAGAAATATTAGTTAAAGGTGGCATAACCCGAGGGATGTATACAAATCCTCCCTGGGATTGACCCATTCGACCATGGATGTTTATAGCAGCTCCTGATGCCATGTAAGGATTGAAAGGAGAGGCAACATCCATTTCATTATCTGTGTACATATACCCGTTAGTCTATAGGCCTGACATCATTGCAGTTGGCATGTCATATGGATACTCCTTACCACTAGGGGGAAGTGTAAATTTTGGAAGAAAGGAAAGCCTAGTACTCCATGCAGTGGTTTGCGTAACCATGGGATTAACATGAAAACTAGTTGGTGGTGGTATCAGCATTTTTGGTGCCGCAGTCAAAAATAACTTTTGACTCACGAATGAAGCAGTTACTCTAATGGTTGTTAAAGTGCTTGTACCACCAACGGTCATTCTAATTGGTTGTTCTTCTACATTTGGAGTGTTGTTCTGGGGAGGATGAACTCCTTGAGGGGATGAATTCCCTGATGGTCCAGACATACTAACACATTTTATGCTCCTCAAAAGCATAAACACTCAACAATTGACAACATTTAGATGTGAAGAACGAAAACAAATATAAAAGCACATACACTCTTTACAAAAATCTTAATTTTCACACAAAAGGGTCCCATTAGACGTGCCAATTTGTTTACAGGTGATTTTAGTAAACAATCATGAGTTTCAATTCACTTGCAGGATCAAACTAGAAAAATCTTAAAGGACAGTTTGTGTTAAATGTTTGAGAAAATGTATTAGTACTAAAAGGTTTTTCAATGTAAAGATTCAAGAAAGTAAGTGCATAAATGCTTAATAGGATAAAGTAAATAAAGAAAAATAGTAAAGCAATTGAATAAAAATGCTTGAATTAAGAGTGGAACGTGAATTCATACAGTTCTCATAAATTCTTTATCTCCGTGGCTCAGATGTGTGAATTTCATAGAAAATAGAATGAAATGCGAACTCCTTTTAGAAAATTGAAATCTACTTATATACTATGTACATCAATAACTGTCAACATCAACTATTTCTCCAGAATTCAACACATATCTTGCTACATGGACTTTTATCTTCTGATTTGTTTCCACGTGTCTTTTGTTTTTTGAACTGCTTCAAATTGTTACTATCGTCAAAAACATCATCAAGTTACCTAATCATATCTGTCGAGAAGTCTATTTGTCGAACTTGTGAAAAGTACAATTGGGGCTGAAAACATAACATGGTTATCTGCACTTAGCATTTATATACATCTCATATCCCATATTCATGTCTAGTTGCTAAGAAAAAAAATCTAAGGCTAACAGGTAGCCTCATTGAACTTCGCCATATATTCTTGCAATGACTAGGCTTATCCCTATCACACTTTGAATAAGCTTGTGGTAGACCCATTGAAATGTTTGATTGCAGAAAATTGGTGATACAATTTTCTCAAAAGATCTTGATATCTCGTGATAGAGAATCTGAGAAGGCTCATATACTTGCGTATAGTCACATTCTTCAATGTTCTAAAAAGAAGTTTACATTTGGTTAAATTTGTTGCAGTGATTATCATCATCTGGGTATTGATGGTGATAATATGTTCTTGCGAGTATCTCTTTCCATCGAAAGTCACTAAAGAGAATGACTTGAAGTTTTTTGGAACATGTGTGTCCTAGATCTAGGCGGAGAGAGGTTGAAGATCCAAGGCCTCCATCCTCCGTGCTCGCCATTATCTATATCTTGTTGTTGTTGTTGAAGATTCTGAATGTTTTCTTGGAGAGTTTCGTATATCCGCTACAACGTTCTGATCGATGTTGTTTCTACTGGTTGTAGCCCATACGATTAAGAGACGGTGGTTGGATTAACAAAAATTTAAGTGAGAGTGTGGCTCAAGTCAATTTTACCGAGACTCTACGGTGGATACCAAATGCACGTGCAGAAAGTGCTCTATTTGTGACCTTACTTGTAGTGGGGAAAAAAACCCTAGTATGAATGATATGTAAATAAGTGATAATTTCTCCCATTTTCCCGTTCTCTATTTATAGCTATAATGGCCCCATCGCATCTTTAGTTCATTGACCACTATATTGTTATTGACTTTCACTGCCTTATCCCTCCCTTGTTTAGAATATGGTTGTGCGGCAAACTTTTACGGCCTTACACGTTGACGCTACATCATTACATCCATTTACTGTCTGGATCTTACATGCGTAACTCATATCCCAAATCTGTTATATGACTGAAAAGTTGAGTCATCTTCCTGCCTCAAAGTCGAGTTGAACTCCTAGTTGAATGATTTCGCTCATACAACATACCATGATAAACTAGTAAGTATGACCTCGAGTTTGCCTTACATATGCCAGTTTAAGTATCATCTGAGAGTTCAACCGACTATAAAGCAAATGAGATAATACCTGTAGATGATAAGTGAACTTAAGTTATTATGGATATGCTAGCCCAAAAAATCACATTAACTTACCATTAAGTCTCTTTAAATGACACAAACACCCTCTTTAATTTTAAAATATACACTAATATTTTCTAAATTTTTAGCAAATAGACGAACATATCCTTTTTCATTAACACTATCACTTTCTTAGTTAAACTTTCTTTAATTCTTTCTCGATCACACAAACACTTATTTCATAGCACAATGAGATAACTCAATTAACGTATGAATGGAGAATTAAATAAATATAACCTATCGATTTAAAATTCAATCGATAACAACATCATTTATTTATATATATATATATATAATTAAGCAACTTTTTTTAATTTTAAAAATAAACATGTGTTACCATTATTTGTCTCTGAACTAATATTCCATCAAGTAGTATCAATGTTGATAATTATGCCAATAAAAAAAAAAAGCAAATTTTAAAACTAAAAAAAACATCATTTAAATCTTTTTAGGGGAATTTTTTCTTTAAAACACTTATTGAATAATAAATTTTAATTACAAAATGTTATGGGTACTCGTAAAAATATATTTCTATATTTATTTTATATATATTATATTATTTTAATCATTAAAAATAAAATTTAGTCTTTTGAAATAAATAAATAAATAAATAAATAAATAAATAAATAAAAAATGAAAACAACCAAATTGGGACCTGGTTTGGATCAACCCAAACCAACAAAATCAACTCGATCGTAACAACGTCCGATTCATCGCCGTCGACTCACATTACTCCGACACCGGCGATCACTACACACGGCGGAGAACAACCATTGTTAACCACCGATATCAAAATTCACCGATGGAACAACTCCAAACACTGCCACCGCCTTCTCACCTCTCGCATTCCGCACTTTCCTTCCTCGACCACAACCTTCACACCGCAACTGTGTTATCTGAATCTCCCAATTTCGTCGCCGAGCTTCAAACTCAGTGCTCTGAGTTGGATCGGGCTCTTGCCGAGTTGACTCGGAGACTCGGAGCAGGTCTTGCAGCATATGCGTCATTTTCCGGAGAAATTCATAGTCTCTTCGCCGGTGTTAACTCTAAATTGAATGAATTAGCGGCTACGTGCTCCTCCGGCATTGTGCCAGGTTTGATTCGTGATTTGATTGATGATATATTTTTTATTTATTTAGGGTTTTCGGTTTTTGAGAAAATGTTTTTTGTTTTGTTGAGTGAAGATGAGGGAAGAAGCGAGGAAGAGGGTAAAGGTGGGAAAGGTTTCAGAGAAGAACTTGCGACTTTGGCGAAGGAAGTGGCTAGGTTGGAAACGGTTCGTGTTTATGCAGGTTAGTTTTATTTCTTCGGCTCGAATTGGTTTTTAAATGTGCAAATTGATGAACATTGTGGATTGTGGAAAGCTCTCTAGCACTTGTGTCAGTGTCGGTGTCCGAAACCTGACATCATCCACTTTTTTTAAAATTATTACTGGTGTCGACGTGGCAGTATCGGTGTGTTCGAGCTTGGAGAGAATTGAAATTTGGTGTTTTCAAATTGTTTAAATCAAAGAACATTTTACATGAAAAATGCAAGATGTTTTTTCTAGTCATATCTTGAGTGATTGTTAATTGTTATCTATGAAGCTCATTGAACACCGCACACATCACTGACACATGTACACCGGTAATAATTTGAGAAAATAGAAGTAACTCAATGCAAGCGCATGTGTGACCACATATATTGGTGTCTGGTTCGTGTGAGACTCTGACACCGGCCACACTTTCGATTCTGGGTGCTACGTAGATTCTTATGATATGCTTCTTGTTCTTTTTCACTATGGTTATAGTCTTTGGTATGATTTCTTTGGTATTGCTCTTTAATGTTAATGTTGTTACTTTTATTTTGTTAGAGATGGCTTAAAAGCTTGATGTATTCATTGTAAATTTAAACATTTTGGGAGAATGGGAGATGATGTTTCTTCTTGAAATTTGTGTTACAACAATTTTTGTGATGTGTTTGTTGTGGTTATCAAGAAAAGTATTGCTTTTCAGTGATGGTTACCATACTGTGTTTGGTTTGATTTCTTAGGTATTACCTTTTAGCTTCTTAAAAGTCCTTTGTGTGTCTTCCAGAGACAGCACTGAAGCTTGATACTTTGGTTGGTGATATCGAAGATGCTGTATCGTATACCATGAGCAAAAACATACGGAAACATTCTTCCGACGAGAACTCAGGAGTGAGCGCACTTTCATAATATGAATCTGAAAAGATATTATGAATTAATGCATTGCTATATTCCTTAATGTATCTTCAAATGTTGCAGGATATGCGTCTGTTTGCTATTAAAACACTAAAAATGACGGAAGAAATATTGACTTCAATTACAAAGATGCACCCTCAATGGAGGCATATTGTATCAGCAGTTGACCATAGAGTAGATCGAGCTCTAGCCATTTTAAGACCTCAGGCAATTGCTGATCATCGGGCACTTCTAGCTCTGCTTGGATGGCCCCCAGCTCTGTCTGCATTAACTTCCTCGCACTCAGATGCAAGGAGTGCAAATCAAGTCTCGAATCCTCTACAAAGCATGCAAGCCGATCATAAGCTCAAGTATTCCGAAAATTTTCTTGCTTTGTGCAACCTACAGGAGTTGCAAAGGAAAAGGAAATCTAGACAACTTGTGGGCCGTGATAGGGAGGTTGCCCTACGACAACCACTCTGGGCAATTGAAGAGCTTGTGAATCCCCTATCATTGGCTTCCCAAAAGCATTTTTCAAAATGGGTTGATAAACCAGAATTTATTTTTACCCTTGTGTTTAAGATCACAAGGGATTATGTTGATTCTGTGGATGAAATGTTGCAGCCATTGGTTGATGAAGCTAAGGTAGTTGGATATAGTTGCCGAGAAGAATGGATCTCAGCGATGGTAACCTCTTTATCCACATACTTGGCAAAGGAAGTTTTCCCTAGTTACATTACTCAACTAGATGAAGAGAGTGTTACAGGTATTCAGGCATCCGCTAGAATATCATGGCTGCACCTCATTGACTTGATGATAGCTTTTGACAAAAGGATTATATCTATGGTAGAACATTCTGGGATTTTGTTATCTTTAGATGATGATATCTTGCGGAGAATTTCTTCTCTATCTGTTTTTTGTGATCGTCCAGACTGGCTTGATCTGTGGGCAGAAATTGAGCTAGGTGATGCCCTAGATAAGTTGAAACCAGAGACCGAAAACGAGAGTAATTGGAAAAAGAAAATTGAAAGTGCAGTTCTTTCAACATGTACGGATGACCATAAGTCTCCTCTGGTTTCCGGTGCCTTTGTTCGTCGTCTAGCATCTGTTGTTGAACGTTGTCGGTCATTGCCTAGTGTTACTTTGCGGTCGAAATTTCTCAGATTAGTTGGCATGCCGATTATAAGAAACTTTTTTGATTCCATACTTGTCCGCTGCCAAGAAGCTGAAGGGTTGACTGCCTTAACCGACAACGATGCTTTAGTTAAAGTTGCAGTTTCCATCAATGCAGCTCATTACTTTGAATCTGTTTTAAAGGAATGGTCTGAGGATGTCTTTTTCCTTGAGATGGGAGTGAATGAGGACGACAACGGAGAATTACCAAGTAATACAAATAGGGATAGTGAAGGGTTACCAGAGAGTTCCAATAGAATTATCTTTGATGATGAGATAAAAAAGATGGAAGAGTTTAGAAAAGAGTGGGTTGAAAAGATAGCTGCAGTTATTTTAAGAGGATTTGATGCACGTTCTCGAGAATATCTGAAGAACAAAAAGCAATGGCAAAAGAGTGAAGAAGGATGGACAGTGTCAAAGACTCTAATAGAGGCCTTGGATCATCTGCAAGGTAGAATATCGGTGGTAGAAGAAGGTTTGAACAGTAGGGATTTTGTTGCAGTTTGGAGGAGTTTGGCAGCAGGAATAGATCGGTTAATTTTTAACGGTATTCTCCTTAGCAATGCGAAATTTCATAATGGCGGCGTTGAAAGATTTGGTAGTGACTTGGATGTTTTATTTGGGGTATTTGGGGCATGGTGTTTGAGGCCAGAAGGTTTTTTTCCAAATTCAAATGAAGGTCTCAAGTTGTTGAAGATGGATGAAAAGAGAGTGCAAGAATGTATGGCAGGGGGGAAGAGATGGTTGAAAGATATCGGGATTCGACATTTAAGCGTATCTGAAGCAGATAAGATTTGCAAGAACAGAGTATTCACAAGTTGAAGCTTTTAACTTACTGGGCTAAGTCATTTAAGTGTATCTGAGGCAGAAAAGCTTTTGAAGAACAGAGTATTCACAAGTCGAAGCTTTTAGCTTTATTGGGCTAAGGAATTTAAGTGTATCTGAAGCAGAAAAGATTTTGAAGAAGAGAGAATTTACCAGTTGAAGCTTTTGGCTTAGTGTTTTTGGCACATGCATAGTAGACTAGAGATGGCATAAAGAATTGTGAAAGTTTAGAGGGTGTGCATTCAATTTTGCAAATTCGGTTTTAAAATTTATTATTCTTTTAGAACGAGTGGTCATTGCCTTATAAATCAAATACAAATCTGGGTTACGTTTGTTATACTATTTCTAAATGCCAATTATACTGTAAATTTGCAATGAAGATTGTGGAAAACTATTCTCATCATGTAATTTATCATTTTTTAAAGTAAGAGGAGCTCAACAGTTTATACTTATTTTTATGTGAAAAGAGTGCGTTCTTCTCCAAAAACTGGAAGCATTTTTTAATGTTTGCTGGCATTAGGGAGAATTTATAAGGGTGAGAAAAGAAATTGCCTTGTTTTTATCTCTCATTCCATGTTCTATCAATCATCTCTGGCAACATGCTCCATGATTGCTGAAGTTTTCACGTAGGATGATAAAATTGGATGCATTTGAATTGTAAGGGACATTAGCTATTTTTTTTATTGAAGTATATTTATTGACCTATTTCTTAATCTGATTTTTTACTGATTTAATTAGAAATATTTTTCTGTCAGTTTTTTTTTAATGAATGGGTCTTAAATTCAAACAATATTTTGTAAATAGGTCCATTGCTTAAAATTCTGAAATGCATTTTCGAATGTATAAAAAATATACACATCTAAGTCAACTTTCAAAAACGGACGAAAATAAAATTGGAAAAAAATTCAAAAGTAACTTCTAGACTAGATTCGGAAGTGTTCCGGATTAAACATTTGTTTATAATACCATGTACCTAATCAACATATTTTTGTTTCATGTTCACCGCTGCTTGAAGTAAATCTCTCTTTGACATGGGTATGTAAAATATTCGATTATGAGATTCAAATTCATAATTAAATTTAAATTTGTTTAAAATATTTAAATATAATTATAGGATTGTTAACTAGTTTAGTTATTAATGGTTGGTTACTCATTCATATAATAAATTAAATTATTTTTGGATTTGATTATAATTCGGTTAATATCCAAAATTTAAAATTAACCTAAATATTTTAATTCAATTATATATTTTTGAAAGGCATGTATTAAGTCTATTTTATTTTGTAGGAAAAAATATATATTTATTATTTTTCGAAATAATTTTTTTATTGTTTTTCGAAAATATATATTCTTTTTCAATTTTCCTAATTTTTTGAAATAATTTTTTTCTAAAACTTTTTTTAAAATAAATAATAATCAATTTTAAGAATTGACTGAATTTAAAAATAATATATTTTTGATTTAATATATCATCTAGTCCTTTAACTTTATAAGAAATTTCGATTTGGTCTTCTAACAAAAAAATATTACATAATCTATTATAAATATATAAAAACCAAAGTATCATTAACTTACTATAATATCCTAATTAGTAAATTTCAATTTAGTTTTAATCTAAGGGTATATTTATAACTTTCTGAAATACTTGCACCATATTAATTTGACAATAAATATGGCTGATGTGTCACACTATGGTTTTTTCTGCCACTTTTTACTTTTTTTAATTATTTCTAACTAACAACAATTATGCCATTTTGTTTATATTTACACGTTATAATCTAGGGATGTCAGTTTGGACCTGTTAATGGGGATCCCCGCGGGGAACGCCCCGTTCGGGGCCCCAAAGATGGGGAATTTTCCCCCGTGGGGGCGGGGATGGGGAGAAAAATTCCCCCGAGAGCATTTCGGGGACGGGGACGGGGAATACACCCCCCCGCCCCGCGGGGACCCCGTCCCGCCTATTATTTTAATATAGTTAATTTAATATATATATTTTAGATTAAGTTTTTTAGTCATTTCCTTTATGTTTATTTATAAAAATAAATAAATAAATATTCATGTATTTATTAAGAGAGAGAAATGTAAATATTAGAGTCTATGGGGATCCCCGCGGGGAACGGGGATCCGCGGGGAACGGGGATGGGGATAGAAATTCCCCCGTGACGGAGATCGGGGACGGGGACGGGGAATGAATTTGATGGCGGGGAAAAAGATGGGGAAGTGTCCCCCGGCCCCGCCCCGCTCCATTGACATCCCTATTATAATCACACCTAATTATGTGCTACATACCACTTCCCAAAACCCTCATCCAAACCAAAGGTCATTCAATTTGAAATTTAAATTAAAACACTCATATTATAGCTGCTACGTACACTGGGTTTTGAAATTCTAATTATTCCACTAAACCCTAATCACGTTTTTTGTTGCAAGATTTAAATTGGCAGCACAAGATGAACAACCATCATAAATGTTGAGTTCTTGAAACGATAAAATAAAAAATTATTGATACAATCATTTTAATAAATTAAATAATTTATAATTAATTTTATAAAGGTGAATAAATTACAAATAATTTTATAAATGTAATAAATTAAACTATTTATAAAATTATTTATATCAATAATAGTAAATTACATATATTTTAATAATTGACACACGAATTCAACATGCTTATAAACCGGAAAAAAGTTACAATAATTTTATAAACAGGAATAAGTTAATATCATTTTATATAAATTAATGGTATAATATAATGTATTAAATATTTATATAACACTTTATTAAATAAATTTATTTCATGAAATTAATTTTATATAATATCATTAATATTTAATTATTGAAAATTCGCAATAAACTGAAAAATATTTATTACAAATCGAATATAATAAAACATAAGAAATAAATACATAATTTTGAAATGTTATATATGATTCATTGTAATAATAAATGTTAAATTATTATTTAATATTATAATAAATTTTCCGATAAAATTGTAACCGCACATTTCCAATATCAGTTAAAATGACACGTTTAATTTGATTTTGGAGTGAGATACAATCAATATGGTATGGCTATATCAAAAAACGTTTCAAGCCTATCAAATGCATGCTTGAGTAGTTACTATTCATGATGCACTTCATTTTCGGTTTCCAAAGTGAAACTATAATTATTTTTTCTGACCATTACTTTTCTTTTCAATTCAAGATTAATTGGCAGAATGGTTAGAATCTGGAAAGTTACCTTTTCTTATTGGTACTTGATTGTCCATAATTATAACATTTTTAATTAAATTTTAAAATAACACTTAACACTATTTAACGCTATTATTATTATTAATTATTATTATTAATAATTAAAATGGTTCACAAAAATAATCACTTGGTATTCTGTTGACTTCAGTATTTTACTTCAAAATCTTGGAACCGTGAATGTTGTATTAACAATTATATTTATTATCCTATAACCAAAAACTTTATTCATTTTATGTCTACAATCATTTTATGTGGTTAACAAAAAAAAATTGAATGACAACCATACAATCAAAGTGATTTTCTACCCATTCATTTTTGCATCACCTAACCAACACTATGGAACCACAAGTTGCAGCAATGGCAAGACGTAAAAGGAAGCAGATTCTTAAAGATAAAAGATTGAAAAAAGGAAGAACTGATGAAAACACAATCAATCCCATTGAAAACTCTCAAAGGTATTATGTTCCAACCATGGTTAATATCAGAACACCACTATCTGATTTAACTTCATCAATATTTAATGAAAGAAATATGAGTTCACCTTCACCAGCATCTGCATCAAGCAACTCAAGTACAATGAAGAGTTTCAATATTGTTTCTACAAATCAACTGGCTGCTTCAGCACGACAGCGGAGGAAAAGTATTATGGAAGGTAAGATGCCCCAATCTTACAAACTTCATAACAACCTTAGCAATAACAATGGGGGTCCTTTCAGGATAAATTCTCCATCCTTTTCGCATTTCAAAACACCATTTTCTGATATAGCTTCCTCATGTTCTAACCAAAGAAACATAAAACCTCATGCACCGCTGTTGGCTCCTAAATTCGACACCCTTGTTTTTATTAATATCAGCCATTAAAGCTGAAGGATGGTTTCGACCAGCTGGGTCTGTCGAAATGCCCATCAGAAGATGGCAATGTACTTAGAGAATTTCTTCCAAGGGAGAATTTGGTTGCCTTCGACGTCGAAGGTGTTTCTCGTCGAAGATGCTTCTCGACGAAGGTGTTCGATTGTTCAGAGTGGAACGGTTTGAAATTCAAACGTTTGGAGGGAAAACGGTTCCCAGCGGTTACCAAGTGCAACGTGCAAAGATCTGGAGCGTCGAACGCTGAGAACGTGCCAAGTGGAGTCATCTCGAAGCAGTGTAACTGCCCGACGATTACTTGGGATGTGTTTAGTATAAATAGTAGTAGTTCACGCAGTTTTTCGCGTGTGTTCACAATTATATACAAGTCACTCATATAGATTCGAGTACCCAGCGTGTGAGAAAGAATTGTTGAGAATGTATGTGTGAAACACCACTTTATTAATCAAAGTCATTTATTTTCCAGAAACTTTACTTGCTTTCTCCTTTACTTTTCCAGTCGAAAGCCTTTATTTCAAGCCTTCCTTTATTTTATCAAGTCCTCTTCTTCATGCAATTTACATAAAGCTTCTTTATTTTCTTGTCATTTAACCATTATCAAACTTAGTCAAAACCCCAAAATCAACCATGTCTTAGGATCAATCTGATCGATCCTGCGAGTAACCAAATAAGTAACCTTTTGGAAGATCAGCGGTTGTTTACCAATTCCCACGGTAAACAAATTGGCACACCTAGTGGGACCGTGTGTTGATTTTGAAGTTTAATCTTTTTACACAAAATATCATCTTTTTCGAGAAGTATTGCATGTTATTGAGAAGTGGTAGAATATACACTAACAATACCAATACTGCCAGAAGAAGAGAAGCAATGGCGAATCCG